CCCCTCCTCCGAGGGGGGCTCCTGCCTCCCCACCCTCCATTGTCTGGCAGTGTGGGTCTCTCAGATGTCTTTTGTGTTGTGTTTGGATGTCCTCTGTTGGAGTATGAATGTCTTTTTCCTTGTGTGGTGGAGGGGGGAGATTACCGAGAAAGCTCACTCTGCCATAATGCTGACGTCACTCCATCTTTTTGTAGTAAATTTTAAAATCAGGAAGTGAGACCTCCAACTTTGTTCTTTGTCAAGATTATTTTGGTTGATTGGGATCTCCTGCAATTCTTTATGAATTTTAGGCTCAACTTCCATTTTTGCAAAATAAATAAATAAATAAATAAAGGCAGTTGGAAAATTGATAATGTATTAGTTACCAAAAACTGAGTGTCTTAAAACAATAGAAATGTATTTCCTTACAGTTCGAGAGTCCAGAAATCCAAAATAAAAATGTCAGCAGGGCCATGCTCCCTCTAAAAGCTCTAGGGAAGAATTCTTCCTGCCTCTTCCAGCTTCTGGTGCCCCCAAGCGTTCCTTCATTTGTGGTAGCATAACTCCAATCTCTGCCTCTGTCTTCACGTGGCCTTCTTCTCTGTGTCTCTGCTCTGTGTGTCCTTTTATCTTCTCATAAGGACACTTGTCATTGGATTTAGGGCCCAACCTAATTCAGAATGACCTCATCATAATTAATTACATCTGAAAACACATTATTTCCAAATAAGGTAACATTCTGAAGTTTCAAGTGGATTTGAATTTTGGGGGGCACTATTCAACCCACTACAGGTAAGAATTTCATTGAATCTGTAGATCACTTTGGGATGTCTTGTCATCTTAACAATATTAAGCCTTCCAATCCATAAATGTGGGATGTCTTTCCATTTATTTAGGCCTTCTTTAATCTCTTTCAACAATGTTTTATAGTTTTCATTGTAGAAATCTTGTACATCCTTGGTTACAGTTGTTCCTAAATGCTTTATTATTTTTGATCCTATTGTAAATGAAATTGTTTTCTTAATTTCACTTTTGGATTGTTCATTTCTAGTGTATGAAAACACAAATGAGTTTTACACATTGATCTTGTACCTGAAATATTTATTAGTTCTAATAATTTTTTTGTAGATTTCTTAGAATTCTCTCTGCTAGTAGAGATAGTTTTACTTCTTCATTTCCAATTTGGATGTCTTTCATTTCTTTTTCTTGCCTAATTGCTCTGGCTAAACTTCCAGTACAATGTTGAATGGAAGTGCATAAAACAGACATCCTTGTCTTGTTCCTGATTTCAGGGGAAAACCTTTAGTCTCTCAACAATAAGTATGATGTCAGCTGTGGGTTTTACATACATGCCCTTTATCATGCTGAGGAAGTTCCCTTCTATTTCTAGTTTATTGGGTATTTTTATGGTGAAAGAGTGTGGGATTTTGTCAAAGACCTTTCCTGTATCAATTAAAATGATCATGTGGGGGCTGGCCCCAAGGCCGAGTGGTGAAGTTCACACACTCCACTTCAGTGGCCTGCGGTTTCACCAGTTTGAATCCCAGGTGTGGACAAGGCACTGCTCATCAGGCCATGCTGAGGCAGTGTCCCACATAGCATAACCAGAATATTTACAACCAGAATATACAACTATGTACTGGGGCGCTTTCAGGAGAAGAAGAAAAACAGAAAAAGATTGGCAACAGATGTTAGCTCAGGTGCCAATCTTTAAAAAAAGAAAAGATTATGTGTTTTTTCTTTCATTTTACTAACATGGTGTTTTACGTTGATTGATATTTGTATGTTTAACCAGCCTTGCATTCCTGGAATAAATTCCACTTGGTCACGGTGGGATTTTCATATGCTGCCAGATTCAGTTTGCTAATATTTTGTTGAGGATTTTGGCACCTATATTCATAATGAATATCGGGTCTATAGTGTTCTTTTCTTGAGAACTCTTTGTCTGGCTTTGGCATCAGAGTAATACTGGCCTCATAGAATGAGTTAGAAAGTGGTCCCTCCTCTTCTATTTCTTTGGAAGAAATAATTCTTTGAGAATTATTGGCATTAATTCTTTAAATGTTTGGTAGAATTCACCAGTGAAGCCATCTGGACCTGGGTTTTTCTTTTTTGGAAGATTTTGTATTACCAATAGAATCTCTTTACTTGTTATAGGTCTATTAAGATTTTCTATTTTTCCTTAAACCAGTTTTGGTAGTTTGTGTATTATTAGGAATTTGTCCATTTCATCTAGCTTATCTAATGTGTTGGTGTATAGTTGTTCATTGTATTCTCTTATAAACCTTTTTATATCTGTAATGTCTGTAGTAATGTTCCCATTTCCATTCCTGATAATTTGAGTCATCTCTGTTTTGCTCTTGGTCAGTCTAATTAAAGGTTTATCAATTTTTCTGATCTTTTCAAACAACCAACTTTTGGTTTCGTTGATTCTATTTTATCTTTTTATCTATGTCAGTTGTCTCTATTCCAATCTTTATTATTTCTTTCCTCTGCTTGCTTTGGGTTTAGTTTGTTCCTTTTTTTCCTAGTTCCTTAAGGTAGAAGATTAGGTTATTGGTATGAGATATTTCTTCTTTTTTAATATAGATGTTTACACCCATACGTCTCCTTCTGAGTACTGCTTCTCACTGCATCTCGTTAAGTCTTGGTATGTTGTATTTTCACTTTTATTCATCACAATGTATTTTCTAATTTCCCTTGTGATTTTTCTTTGACCCATTGGTTAAGAGCGTGTGGTTTAATTTCCACATATTTGTGAATTTTCCAGATTTACTTCAGTTAATGATTTCTAATTTCATTCCATTGTCAATGGAAAAGATAGTTTGTATGTTTCCAATCATTTTAAGTTTACTGAAATTTGTTTTATGGCCTAACATATAATCTATCCTGGAGAATGTTCCATGTGTATTTGAGAGGAATAAATTCTTTCTTTATTTATTTTTGCTGAGGAAGATTCACCCTGACCTAACATCCACTGCCAATCTTCCTCTTTTCGTATGAGAGCCGCCACCAAGCATGGTCACTGACAGATAAGTGGTATAGGTCCACACCCAGAAACCAAACCCCAGCTGCCGAAACAGAGTATGCCAAACAACCACTAGGCCACCAGGGCTGGCCCCATTATTTTTTGGTTAAAGTGTTATGTCTATGTTTGATTCTTTCTTCTGTCTGCTCACATCTGCTGCTGAGATCTTATAGTGAGTTTTTTCATTCCAGCTATTATACTTCTCAGCTCCAGACTTTCTGTATGGTTTCTTTTTATAATTTCTCTCTCTTTATGGATATTCTCTTTTTGCTGAGATAGTGTTCTCCTGATTACCTTTAGTTCTCTGTCCATGTTTTCCTTTTTCTCTTTCAGCATATTTAAAATGGTTGATTTAAAGTCTTTGTCTAGTAAGTCCAATGTCTGGGCTTCCCCAGGTACAGTTTTTGTTATTTTTTCTCCTGTGACATGTTCTTGTTTCTTTGCATGCCTCATAATGTTTGGTAGAAAACTAGAGGTTTTGTATATTACAATGCGGTCATTCTGGAAATCGGATTCTTTTGCCTCCTCAGAGTTGTTCTTGCTTGCTATGGGTTGTAGCTGTTTGTTTAGTGACTTTTCTAAAAGTCTGTATTCTTTGTTGTTTGTTCTAAGAGGCCTCTGTTAATTTAGTTTGTGGTCAGCTAGTGGCTTGACAGAGATTCCCTTAAATGCCTAGAGCCAGAGGTTGAGGGGGTGAGGGGTTGTTGGAAGGCAGAAGAAGGAGAAGAAGAGGAGAAGAGGGAGAAGAAGAGGAAGAGAAAGAGGAAGAAAAGGATGAACAGGAAGAAGAGGAAGAGAGAGAAGGAGAAGGAGGAAAAGAAGGAGAAGGAGGAGAACCAAAGCAGAAGAAAAGAAAAGAAAAAGTAAAAACCTCTCATAGTCTTTGAGGATTGGCTCTGTGTTTGGGTCCTCCTTCAACACAGCCCAGCTATTTACAACTCTGCCTTAGCCTTCACTTCCGGCTTGCACTGAGCCTACATATCACCCAGCGGTGAAAGCTGAGGATCTTCACAGATCTTTTCTGAGCATGCATCCTACCCTGAGCATGTGTATGGATTTCTCAATTCCTTGTTATACACAGGATCTTGTCAAAGCCCTTACTTTCTAAAAAAAACCCTCTTTCAAACTTTTCCTCCCAGGCTTTCATCATATTTAGTGTTTATTCCAACTTTTTTGGAATCTCTTATAATCTTTTGCCTCAGGTGAAAGGGACGTGTTCCTTTTTAAAATCTTTTCAAGGAACACCCTCTGCTTAGCCACTTTTCCATTCTGGGAGAGTGCTGAGTTAAGTGACACAAAGGAAAGCACTATGAGTCAGTCCTTCCAGGAACTCTCAGATGGGTAAAATGGACAAACACAGTTCCTTGGGAATCAGATCCACTTCTCCCTCCAGAATCAGATTACCACACTGAGAACACATCTTGCTGTTTTCAATACCAGTGCCACACTGGGGAGGGAGTTGGTGCAAGGCTAAGTTAAAATACCATAAAGCTTTCCTACTCCTACCCTGTTGAGTCATCCTTTTCTTCATTTAACTTTTGCTTGGTTCCTTTAAACCTTTGTCTATCTTCCAGAATTCTGACAAAGTTGATTCTGGCGGTATGCAGTAATATTAGCACTGGCAGCATTTTAGATTATGAAAACTGGGATGTTAAATTTTCAAAATATGGTATCTGAAAATAACCAATGTCAAAAAGCTAAGACCAGAAGATCTTGTCCAAATATAAGGGAAATCATTACTTTAGACTTTGGGCGACATTTCAACTATGTAACCTCAAATGTCTTGGAATCATAGTATAACTAATCTGTATGTGTACTTTTCTAATGACTGGCCATTTCTGATAAGTTGTTTCTCTAGTTTATCATAACCATCAAGGCTTTGGTTTAGGAGTTAGAAAATGCTGCAATCAGACACAGGCTTTATATATTAGTAACATCTACTGCAGTTTTACTAAAAGGTGTTTTGTTCATAACTCTTATATCTTTCTCACAGTGCATCCAAAAACTTGACTACTACCAACTGGTCAGCTCCGGTTGTGTGGGATGGCACTTACAATGAAAGAATATTGGAAAATTATTATGCAAATCATAAAATTACAGTGGGGTTGACTGTGTTTGCTGTGGGAAGGTAGGTAATGCCAAATTTCCTTTATAGTCAGGCTTTTTATTCTAGAAAATGGGAGATTATCATTAATCCCACCTCAAGAATTGGCAAAAAGTAGAGTAAAATAAAGCCAAAGCAAGAAGAAGAAAGAAAATAATAAAGATGAGAGCAGAAATCCATGAAATTGAAAGCAGAAAAGCAATAGAGAAAAATCAATGAAACAAAAAGCTGGTTCTTTGGAAAAAATCAATAAAATTCACAACTATCCAGAAAGTCTGGCACAGAAAGAAAATGACACAAATTACCAATATCAGGAAGGAAACAGGGTATGTCACCTCAGACCTTGCAGACATCAAAAGGATAATCAGGGAATACTACAAAATGCTCTACACACATATATGTGACACCTTAGATGAAACGGACCTTGACAAGTACTAATTGCCACAACTCACCCAACATGAAATAGATCATTTGAATAGCCCTATAGCTATTGAGGAAATAGAATTCATAATTATAAAGACTCCCAAAGTCTCCAGGCCCAGATGGTTTCACTGGAGAATTATACCAAATATTTAAAGAAGAATTAACATCAATAATACACAATCTTTTGGAAAATAAAAGAAGAGGGAAACACTTCCCAATCCATTTAATGAAGCAAGTGCTGCCCTGATACCAAAATCATATATAGAAAGTACAACAAAGTATTGAGTAAAGTTGAACAATGTACATATGACCCATTAAAATTATAGTTTATCAACTTTATTGTAACTCATTATTAAATACTGATCGTAATTTATTCTTAAAAAAGAAAAAAAATGTAAAGGAAGAGGAAGGAAGGGAGGGAGGAATAATTGCAGAAGAAGCTTCCTGTGTACCTCTTCCCCAGACCCATTCTTATCCCTCCCAGTTGCTTCCCCAGGATCTGTAACAGGGCATAGAGAGTGACCCCATGCTGGGGAAGTGCTCCTACCTTCAGGACACATATGGAGCTTCTGCTTCTTTCCCAATCCCCTCAATAGAACGCACTGAGTCTTGGAAGGGTCCTGTGTAAGTGAAGAGGCACTGAAACCAAAGCCTCATTAACTTCGCCATAAAACCTCCTCTGTGTGTTAAAGAGCCCCTGAAAGTCTCAGGAATTAGTGACATCAAGTTTGTCTGAAACTAGGGGTATAGGTGGAGCTGAAAACAGGAGGATAGATTGAAAGTATCTTTATGGAGCATTTAGATATAAATATTTGATACAGGGATAAACAAATAAGTCAATATAACAAAACAGAAAGCCCCATGCAAATGTTAAAGCCTTTCTATTTATTAGCAATGATATTGTAGATCTCTAGGGAAAGACTTCCATAAATGATGCTGGAGAAAGTCAATGTCAACATGAGAAGATTGAAATTGTACCCCTATAGCATACCATATACAAGTGTATACAAACATTAATTCCCAAGTAGTTTAAAGACCAAAAGCAAAAGGAAAAACTATAGTATGTCTTCAGGAACTCAGGCTAGGAAAGGATTTCTTAATCAAGACACAGGAAATACTAATCATAAAGGAAAAGACTGATAAAAGTGACTGTATTAAAATTAACTTTACCTAAGAAAACTTCAGAAAAACCCACATTGCAGCCATTCTGCAGAATACTTGATCAGGGCTCTTTTCAAAATGATCAGGGTCATGAACAACAAGGAGAGGAACTGACACAGGCTAGAGGAGAATAAGGAGACATAATGACTAAATGCAATGTGTGTCCTGGATTGGATCCTGGAAACTACAAAGGCCATTAGGGGGAAAACTGGTGAAATCCCAATAAAACCTGTGGCTTAGTTAATAGTATTTTACCACTGATAATTTTCTAGCTTTGACAAATGTACCATGGTTACATAAGATAGTAGCATTAGGGGAAGGTGGGGAGATGGATATGGGAACTCTCTATAATATATTCGCAACTTCACTATAAATCTAATATCATTCCAAAATAGAAAGTTTTTAAAAATTGAAAAAAAAATTGTTTCCCATTGTAGCGTAAGTCCCTCACAATAAGCTTGTTTGATTGTAAATGCCTGACATGAAGCTTTTAATTGCCCAGGAATCTATTTCAAAGACATCCATCTTGAATAAACATATTGCCAGCTGTGGACACAGTTACTAGCTAAACCACTAGATAAAGAGTCAGGCCACCCCATCCATGAAGTTCCCCTTTTAGAAAGCCCTGGGTAACCTTTCCCATGCTTTAATTTCCGCTCTTATCTTTTAAATTTGCCAATAAAGAGTGAACTGGTGAAACCCTAGACACCCCACCCTCCACCCCAATAAAACAGAACTCTCAAGTCCTCTCTCTCTCTCTCTTCCTGTCACCTTGTTATGTGGCCCCAGTATGCCATACCCTCCTGGACTTGTGAGTAATAAACCTCATTTTTTCAGAGTTCCCTAATGGTTGTGCCTGAGGTGCATCTTGCAAACCATAAGATGACCCACAAGGGACAGTCCAGCCACAACACTGAGTCTGGCAGAGGAGAAAGGTCTGTGGGGGTCTCACCACAAGTAGTAGGAGCCCAGGTGAGCGTCCCCAGGCATTCCTAGCCAATAGCATCAATATCAATAGGCTGAGACCAATGCAAAACAGCCCTATAACACACCATACACAAATATTAATTCAAATGAATGATAGACTTAAATGTGAAAGACAAAACAAAGCTACTAGAAGAAAATGTAGGAGAATATGCACTACCTTGAGGAGGCAAACATTTCTGAAACATGACAAAAGCATTAACCATAAAAGAAATGTAGATAAATTGGATTTCTTTGGAGTCACTAGCTTCCAGCTCAGTAGAATCCTTTGTGATATTTTTCATAATTTACCTAATAATTTTAGTTTTCTCCTGACCCCATCTGCTGTATTTCTTAACACTTAGATCAACATCCAGAACTCATTTTTAATGATTACATACACATTATTTGAAGCTGAGCCACATAGGATTACCTTTCCTTTTTTGAATTTACCTGGGGCCATTTATTACTCTGAGCATCTTTTACTGGCTTGAGAGACTGGAAATGAGAAAGTTTTGTTTCCTAATCCAGCAAGTTTACCACCATACTAAAGGCCATAAGGCACAATAAGAAAGACAGTGCAGGTAAGTGGGGAACTGATCATACCCGCTCTGATCGTTTATGCATAATTGACTACTCATAAAGCAAGCCACAGATGTCAATAACTGCTCTTGCAATGACCCAAGACCTTTCTTGCCTGAAACCTCCAAAGCAAGTTCCCATCATTCTGATCACCCTGAATACTAGCTCTCATCTTGCACTGGGCTCTGTGCAGCTTCCTGATCTCACTCAAGTTTCATTCCCTCTCGTGAAGAACTCCTCTTCTCTCCTATGATCCATAGACCCCCATCAGGGAGAGTAAAGGCAGATAATTTCACTTTATTTTATACTACTTAAATACACCTCAAGAAGCATATTGAATATTTGGTTGCTTAGTAGCATTTTTGGATTAACTACAGTCAGTATAGTTTAAATAGGATGTGTCCCACTAAAACATAAGAAGAGCAACTTAATCATTTCTTATTTACTTCACAGATACCTTGAGCGCTATTTGAGAAGATTTATAGCATCTGCTGATAAACATTTTATGGTTGGCCAGAAAGTCATAATTTATGTCCTGACAGATGACTTCTCCCACATGCCATGGATACAGCTGAGTCCCCTCCATACCATGAAAGTTTTTGAAATTAAGCGAGAGAGGAGATGGCAAGATGTCAGTATGATGCGCATGAAGACTATCAGTGAACATGTTGTAAATCACATCCAATATGAAGTTGACTTCCTCTTCTGCATGGACGTGGATCAAATCTTCTTAAGAAAATATGGATTGGAGACTCTGGGGGAGTCAGTAGCTCAATTACATGCTTATTGGTATAATGCAAATCCTATGGAGGTACCTTATGAGAGAAGTCAGTTATCGGAAGCGTATATACCTATTGGTCAGGGAGATTTTTATTACCATGCTGCTGTATTTGGTGGCACTCCCATTCAGGTTCTCAATATTGCTAGGGAGTGCTTCAAAGGAATCATGATTGACAAGAGGAATAACATTGAAGCAGTGTGGCATGATGAAAGTCACTTAAACAAGTATTTCTTTCTCCATAAACCCACTAAACTCTTATCACCAGAATATTGCTGGGATTTTGATAGAAAACGAAATCCTGATATAAAGTCTGTCAAACTCTATTGGGCTATTAAGAATTATAAATATGTCAGAGCAACAATATAATTTTATAGCCCTTCCTTCATGTTTCTGAATTTAAGAGCACCTTTTAATCTTATTCCTGAGAAAATTAGCAGTTGACAAATTTTAGCACTAACAAAATGGCAAGCCCACCAACACAGCATTCTCATACTTTCCTCACATTCATTTTGAACCATATAACATGGGATATAGCAGTTGCAGAATGAATATATTGACATCAGATGGAAATATAGTGATTTTATATCCTGTGTGAACGTTCAGGAAATAGAACATGCTGGATCACACCAAACAAAATAGAATCTGCCACAAGAATATGAAACCTGAAATATTTTTGTTGATCCAAGTAGATATACATTTCTCACATTGTTTAAGGAGAGGGATTATCTAGAGGTGTGGATAGATAAAGTCACTGCAACTATACTAGTATACTCTCTATGTAAAACTGTGAGGACGTTAAAGCTGCCGCCAGATGGGCAGACAGTTACTTAGGAAACTTTGAGTCATTCAAAACGAACTATATGTTTTAAAACTACAAAGTTGCTTGTCGTAAAATCTAATTAAAAGAAAATAAATAAATAGAGAGAGAAAATTGAAAGCCCCCCTCTATTCTCCCTTGGAAAACCTATTCCTCAATATTCCTTTTGTATGAATTATATACCCACCCATGAATACACACAGACACACACACACATGTGTGCTTATATAATATTTTATACAAATTCACTTATATCATACACAGGCACACATACATGCACACATACACATTTTATCAGTAGTCAGAGTCCAATTAGGAAAATAGAAACTACTATTCTAGGTATTTCAAACAGTGGGAATTCAACACAGGGTATTCGACATGTAGGTGATAAAAGAGCTGAGGAGCACAGAAGGGAGAGTGAGGAAACCTATTTTTTTTTTTTAATGAAGGCAATAGCACTTCTAGGGCTGGAGGAAAAATTGTAGGTCCAGAAAGAGCTAGCACCTGGCATGAGTTACCTGGCATGAGCTGGGATAACAGAGAGTGGAGTTCCAGTCGCTGCTATAGATGCCACCCAAGGGAGACAGAGACAGAGAGAAATAGATAGGCTTTTCTCCTTCTATCCTGCTCTCTTCTGCCAGTGTTGTCCCTTGGCTGGTGCTATACCATAGTCAGATGCAAGGGAGTCTGGGAAATGTAGGTAGGTCCCTGCCACATTAAGCAGAGCATGGGAAAAATGAGAGAGATCCAAGAGTAAACAGACAAATGGCTACCACAGTCCACCCATTTTGCCACAAAGCATCCATCCTCACACTTCTACCCATGCCTAACTCTCATAAAACGACTTCATGTTTCCACCTCACAGAAGTCAACTAACTTTTGTACAAATAAACACTTTCTTCCCAGAAAGGTCAAACACAAAGCACCATCTGAAATAATTTTCTTCACCATGTCCAGGAACCCCAGATGATATTAGGTCCTCTCCCTCAGGACTGTATGTGGCTCTTCACAGTTTGATCTAAATTCTGAAGAAAAGAACAACTAACACACTTCATAAAAAAGTGGTAGGAGAAGGAAAAAGGGAAAATAATTGGTTAACATATAAAGATATACACTTATAGATAACGTATTTATATTTATGTTTATTTTTATAATACAAATATAAGAAAAACATGCATGCCTGCTGCAGTCCTCATTTCTGTAGCTGACTACAAGGTCAAGTTCATATTTATCTCTTCTTTCTTCCACTACCCATTCCATGTTCCTTATCCTTTGCTAGAAGCTCAGCTGGACAAGGTTCTTCATCTAATTGGGTGACATAAACATTTTCCCTGTGGGATCTGAGTCATTAGCGGTCTTTATTTATTGGATTCCCACAGTTTTCCCTTAACAAGGACTGTCAGATAAGGTAGTATTAAGAGGCTTCCAGGGAACACCTTGAGTTCTAAGTATACCCTTATTCCACTATTGTGTAGTAGCGATCTACTTTCATCTAGATAATTGTGATCAGTCCCCCCACACAGTACAGAGAGACCCCTTCTCTGGCTGTTGATTCAGCATGATGAGAATACAAAATGGCCAGGGCAAGTCTCAGGTTCCATTTCAACAGGATCTTCACTGTGTATCCTGGTAGAAACATTCCTTTCTTTGCACTAGGACCTCTAAACTCACTGAGCCCAAGGTTGCAGAGATGGAAGCAAAAATTATTCCAGTGGGTTATTTGGTGTAATTATAAAAGAGGGCCTCACATCTCTACCTCTTAGTTCCAGGACTGATGCATTCTGGCTGTGAGGAAGACAGTATGATATAGTGGCCACTTGTTAAGGCATATCCCACACTGAGGACAGCACTCCAACCTCACAGAGTGTTGTCTTACAGCTGAGACTCTAGCTGAGTCGTCAGCAGGCCATTTCATAAAGTTAGCTGCTTCTGGGTCATGAGTTACATGGTAAGGCCAGTGAACTCCACAGGCACAAGCCTACTGCTGCACTTACTTGACAGTAAAATCTACCTCCTTCTCAGAGACAATGGATAAAGCATTCTATAAGTCCACAAGTGATGATGCTGGCAGAAGGACTGTGGGAAAGGAAGGTAAACCTGTACCCAGAATATATTTCTTTGGGGACAGATTTCTTCCCCTTCCGTGATAGGAAAGATCCAAGGTAACAAATACACCACTGGTGGCCAGATGTTTCCTCAGAAGAAAGGTGCCATATGAGGTCCTCAGGATGGCCTCTGCTGTTGGGTGCTTGGGCATTTAGCAGCAGAGAAAGCCAGATATTCACTGATAGAGGAAGTCTTTCTTACTGAGCCCATGGATAACCTCCATCCCTGCCACTAAGGCCCCTTTGTATATGGGCCCATCAAGCAAGAACTATGGGCTACAGAAAGAGGCTGGCTGACACCACAGATCAGATGATCTTCTCTATTTGATTCTTGAGAGCCTCCTCTGCTGAGATTGCTCTTTGGTGAGCATTTTCAAGGGATACACATAATCCTTACACTCTGTGCCTATTTGAGAAGCCCATAAACGACCTCAGACTTTTGTCACCAGTTTTCCAATCTGCCCAATCCAATCTCATAGAAATAACTTCTGTTTGATAATGGATTGCAGCCGCATATATCCAGGCTTTTAGTTTGTTGGATCAGATAGCATTAGTTCATGGTGAGTAGGAGAGCTCATAGCTCAAGTAAATTTAGAATCCATCGTGTCTAGCGTTCATTATCCACCTGAACTATGCAAAGTCTTCCATCTAGTATCTATATTTGCCACTTGAATCTGCTAAGGGGCACAGAACCTTGCTCTGCAGACTGTGCCTTACATAGAACCTTCTCTTGCCCTAGGCCTCACTCAAAATTGGCAGGGTTACGAGTTTCTTAATAAATAGGTCAGAGTGGCACACTCAAATACAATATATGTTGCCTCCAATATCCAAAGTGTCCCACTGAGCTTTACACTTCTGATTTGGTGGTAAGTGGTGCAAGGTGCAGGAACTTGTCTGGGGCATATAACCCTACATGTGCCTCAGAAACGTCACTGATGTGTCAGGCCCCTGAATTTTTATGGGATTTTTCTTCCACCTCCTGGTATACATTTGTATTTGCATGACATCTGGGATTCTTGCTCTTTTCTGCTCAACATGCTCAGCATGATGCTAACAATGATCTCCTGTGAGATGTCGTTGATCAAGGACCCTGTGGATTATATTATGACAATGCAGGAGAGTTCACATTGCTCTGAGGTTTACTGATGTCTCTGCCAGGTGAAAACAGACTGCTTTTGATAATCCATACTAATTGATGTAAGAAAAAACATCTGTCAGCTGCAAATCAAACACCAGGGACTGTGTTCATTCGCTCCAGCAAAGATACAACACTTGGAAAAGTAGCTGTGATTGGAGTCATCACTTAATTAACTTCAGTGATTCACAGGCATTCTCCAAATTCATCTGCCTTTTATACTGGCCAGTTAAAGAAAGTTAAACAAAGATGTGATAGGAATCAACAGCCTCCAATGTTCAAGTCCTTAATGGTAGCACTAATCTTTGTAATCTCCACAGGGAGGTGTTATTACTTCTGATTTACTATTTTAAGTAGGAGAACATTTTCCCTTGGCTTCCATTTGACCCTTCTTACCACAATAGCCCTTATGCCATGGGTCAGACACTGATATAAGTATTCTACCAGTTGCTAAATATAAATATTTTCAACATGAATTCAGCACTTCAAAAAATGTAGGGTGGCTCCTTTATATGCTGGGACCACTGTGAAACAATCTTGTGGCAGAACTTAATTTATCCCCTAATATCCATAAGCCCTCACTCTGTTCAGTAGACCACAATGCCATTTCTAGCCCCTAGAAATTATTGTTAACTCAGAGCTAGTGTCCATTTTACATTTTCCCCCAAGGACACAGTCATCCTAGTAAATGACCACAGGTCCTCCTTCGAGGTGACATAGACTCCCCTTCAATTAATGGACTCCAGCTCTGTAAACTGGCTTAGGAGTAGAACATGGCAAGACACCATAATTTGTTATTGTGACTACTCAAGTCAGGTTTCTGCTCAATAGGCCTAGGGTTTTTCTAGTAATGTAAACCCCATAATTCTCACTGAAATCAGAGTCCATTTCAATGTCAGTATCTCCCCACACTGATTCGTTTCTCAATGACTTATTCGAGGGAAAGTGTCCTCCAAGCCCCTCCTCCTCCTCCCTGGAACATAGTTAGGGGCAAGGGAATATTTTGAACGTGATAAATTCACTCCATCATTTCTGTCTCCCTAAACCTTTGGATTTCTTTTACAACATCATGCTAGGGCAGGTATGACATCGTAAGGTCATTGATTTTAGACTACCGCTGAATTCAATTTTTAGTTTAACAACCAAGAAAACTCTTAGAAACACAACTGCCTAAGACAACATAGGAAATCCAGAATCTCGGGTAAGTGTACCTGTTTCAATAGATTCAGCTCAATCTAATATTATATTCCAATCATCTTGAGCTAACATCATTAGAATCCATTCTTACATGTTTCCCTAATATAAATTAGCAACAGCTTGAAATTCTTTTAATGTAGCTGTCTCCTACTGGAGCTGACTCTGAATCCTCTCCCTGGGGAATGCTGTATCTGACTCGAGGTATAAGGCAATGAGAATAGGCATCACCTTGTAAATTAACCATTTTGGTGGATCATTACAGCATCTTTAAGCAGGAAAAGACCTGTCTCCTCAGAGAGAGGAAGAGGAGGAGTTGTTTCCACTGACGAGGGGAGCTCAGAAGGATTAGAATTACAAGTTCTCAGATCCATCAGAATCCACCCAAATGTTCTTATTCCACATATAAGGGTCCCAGTCTTTCCTGATTCACTAATTTTAACACAAAAAACTTTTAGAAGTTGTATATTTGAGTTACATTTAAATTATGTATACCACACAATTAGATTTTAGGCTGTATCCTCAGCCATAGATGCCTTATGAGCATGCGCACACACGCACACACAATGGCACTGTAAGAGCCATTTTGTTCTGTGTCCGTGCCTTGAGCTGAGAGTTTACATTTCTAGACTTATTTTATTTCTATTAGCTCTCTAGAACAGTCAGAAGCAGCAATCCCATCGCACAGAACTTGCGCTCATTTAACCGTGATGGCGAGTACAGCAAGCACTTCATGGCCCAGTCTTCCCTTCGGTTGACACTTCCTACCAAGCTATAACAGGTGATAAGATAATTTAAATAATTGTGATGCCACTACATGCCACAGATTTCTAGTAACCCATAAGCAGAATAGGGTTCTACTTGTAAGGAGGTTTTATGGTAGTCAGCCTTAAAGAGGGGAGGAACGCAATACCAGAATTCCATTTTGAGAGACAATTTCTTAGGGTTTTTGGTAGAGAGTTGGCAAAAATGAACGTTATTATCCCTTCTCTGTATCCACGCCCTTTTTGCATTTCCCCGGCTGACATTATCAAACAGCCAGATATGTGAACATGGAACAGCAAGTCCCCACCAGCCATACAACCCCAGAGTGCTGTAGATACAGGAGCCTCCCCAGCTGAGATCAGCCGAGCTTGACTCACATCAGCAGCAAAAGATCCATAGACTCACGAGCAAAAATAAAGCACTGTTGCTTTAAGCCGTTAAAGTTCGGGATGTGCTGTTATACAGAAAAAGCTAATTGATACAAGAGAACTCCTAGTACCAGGAACTATATCAACCAGGATCCAGTCAGGAAAATCTGAGTATTTCAAATGAGGGATTTTAATTCAAGAATTGGTTACACAGGTGATGGAATTGCTAAGGAGCTACATGGGACAGTGAGGCACTGAGAAGCTGTGAGCATTCCAAAAGCCAGAAGGGCACAAGAAGGAGGTCAAACAAGCCAGGGCCATCAGTGGGAGCTGGAACCTCCTGCAACCATGAAGGGCGCAGCTAGGTCTGATGGAAGCTGGAATCACAAAGGAGACTTTAAGTGGAGCTTTGTGCTTTTTCTCTACGTGCTCTAGTGCCTTTAGACACACCATTTAACCTGCCAGTTGGTCCTTAATTTCTTTATGTCCTTCATTTCATTAAAAACGTTAATATATTTGAGTAATACAGTGTCTGGCACATAAGTCAGTGTTATATCAGTCGTTGTCGTCATCATCATATATTTTTATGGCAGGAACTATTATTCTCCAAAGCGTTTGTCTTTGATGAGCACCTCATTCATGGGAGCACAGGGATAATTTAATTAGCTGTTTACTACAATATTCCACAGGCTGCCAGATACCTAGTTCTGAATACTAACGTGATTTTTCAATTGCTTTTAGCCCCAAACAAGTCCTGATAACCAATTCTAGATTCCTCCCATTTTCCCTGAGTATATGTTATCTACAACCTCTCTCTTTGGTACCAATCCTAGAAATTGGTATCAGGGCACTGAAAACAATCCTGATTCATTTAAACAGAGGAAGAATTTATGGAATTGCATGTTGGGTAGAAAAGTTGAGCCCTCAAATCTTGTGGCCTAACACACAAAAAAGCTTCTCACTCACCCTACATATCCAGTGCTCGTTGGAGCCAGGCAATCTTCTCCATATTTTCACCTGGGGACCCAGAATGATGGAGGGTCCACTCTCTGTGATATTACCAATCACAATGTCATGGGAAGAGAGACACTAGACAATGACGCAGGGGCCTTTCAGTGCTTCAGCCTGGACTTACTGCATGCCCCTGCCAAGTGCAGAAGGGCTAGGAAGTGGAGTTTGCCATCTGCCTGGGGAGGAAGAGAGAACTAGAGAGTGGTGAGTGATAGGAATGTTCACTACCGAGGGTAGGAACAGTACTTACCAAATAGCTGCCGAAAGAGAAATATAAAGGATGAAGAAAAAGATGTTGCACCTTTTCCATCATTCATATACACACAGCACACCATTCAAAATGTATTTCTGTAAGTCAAAATCAGTCATCAAGAAAAACATGGAAGCTCAACAAAGAAAACTAAGAGCAAAACATTCTTTAAATCCATTAATTTTTCAAATGAAGTTCTACTATCTGGCAGCAATGAGAAGAACTTGCTACCAGATGTATCATTATGACAATATCATTATGACTTTCTAATGCTTTCATCATCAAAAGAGTCTGGTGACATCACCATTAGCAGACGATTCAAATACCAGGAGAGTATTGTACAATATCTGACTTTTTTTTTTTTTTTTTTTTACAAAGTCCCAAAAATATGATGCTTGGAAAACATCCTAGGACTTCTTCTCTTCACATCACTGAAACTAAAGTGAAGGCTCTTAGGACGGCATGACAGTTTGAATGGTCTGGCAAAATGGTAGGTAGGGACCATCTTCTAACCTTGGCCTTAAAAGTGTATTGTACAAAACAGGTAACACATCAACATATAATTGGCCTTTGAGAGTTATGTCATTGAGGACAAATTGTCAGAAAATAATCTGGCTAGATGGAGTCATACCTCAGAAATGTATTTGTAATGTTCTTGAATTTTAAAGATGGTCATTTCACATTGCTGGAACACTAAAATTGTCCAGTTGAAGACTTCCCAGTCTGGTATCATGTATAGAATAAGTGTCCAATAGAAATAAAATGCAAGCCACATTTGTAACTTTAAATATTCTAGGAGCCACATTGCAAAAAGGTGAAAAGAAACAGCTGAAAGTCATTTTAATAATGTATTTCTATGAACCCACTATATCGAAAATTTCACTTCAGCATGTAGTCAATATAAACAATTATTAATGAAATATCTTACATTATTTTTTCATACTGAGTCTTCAAACTTCACTGTTTGGACTAGCAACATTTCAAGTACTCACTAGTCACTTGTCATTAGCGGCCTCCGTATTGTAAGGTACAGATCTAAAACATCTTGCTCACTAAATAAGTGTTCAAAAAAGTAAATATCAGAGATCTCCATTTTACTTCAAGACGTAACCCAAAAGCAAGACCTGTTCTCGAATGATGCCTACTGAAAACCAGTTTATGGTTGTAAACAGAAATCCTATCTAACACCATCAACACAAGCTCAGTGCATTGGCTGGAGCCAAATATTACATTTTAGAGCTTAATGCCTTCAATTTAGAATTTTAATCACAGTTTAGAAGGTTATACCTTTTAGAGAATGTCTATATTTTTGGGTTATTAGGCCTATAGTTTTGTAATAAATTATTAGTCTATCTGTGTGAGGAAAAAAATATATAAAAATCAACTTTGGGACAGAGTATGTCCAATATGTAAACACGTCATCGTAAGTACCTCATTTTATTTTGACAGAACCATGAGTGAAATGGAGCTAGAGTTTTATGGAATTTCCTTTATGCAGTCAGGGCAGAGTTTGATAATGGAATACAAAAGAAATGTCAAGACACTGCACCTAATTTTAAAAGGATCAGTAGGCACCCGAAGGGAGATTTCTGCAGGCACTTCAAACAGAATAGGTGATTTCCCTGACTCAAGTCTGCCTTCTTCCTGAGGCTGAGCATTCTAGAATCAGACACTTGGACTGGTGGCCAAATTCTCATAAATAAATTCATTATTAGAAAGTGGCAAGGGAGTTGTTTTTACTTCCCAAAAAACTCTTTTTCTCCTCTTTTTTTCTAGCAGAGAATGAATTCTAAATGGAAAATGCTGTTATTGATTTCATTTGCTTTATCGCTGACATTGATTAAGCATCATTTCCGGTAAATATAACAGATTGATGAATCATTATCTTTAATGATTGGCAGAATTGATCTAAAATGCTGAATTTTGTCCAAAAAATATTAATAAACACTCCCTAAATTAATCAGAAATTACCTCCTCTTTGGGGAACAAATTAAATCATAAATATATTCTTTCAACATTCTAAAATATTTATTGAGGACTTTCTTGGTGCCAGGCCCTGTTCTAGGTGCTAGGAAAACAGTAATAACCTAAACAAAGAGACTGCTCTTATGAAGCTTTACATTCTAGGTGGAGAAGATGTGCAAGAAGCAAAGAAATGTATAATATAATGTCAGGAGCATTGTATTTTTATATAATAATGCTACGAAGAAAGAAATAAGGCAAGATAAGATGATAGAGAGTATTGGGGGCTATTTTGGATACATTTAAAACTACATGTAAGTTCCATTTAATAGGAACAAGATCCAAGCCACCTGCTGTAGAAACATAGCTGTACTGGGAAACAAACTTGTTAACCTGTTAAAATTGTCTCACATGGAAAAATTCAAATTCTTACCTCCTCCATGCCTTCCTCCTTTTGGTCTTTTTCCATAAGCAATGCAATGTTTCTGAATGCTATTTGAAAATCAGCTATATTGTGGGAATGAATGTCTTTTAAAGTTAACCTTATTGCTTTGGTATTATGTTTTACGTGTTATTTACCCTCTGGGGATGCTGTACCTTAATAGAAAGGATTCATGGTCACTTGTAATAGTATTAACATCATCTCTTTGAAGATAATAATGGGCTTGGTCAAAAAGTAAATAATAGACCACAAGCTTATTGCAGGCCTGGGTTCCAGAACTGGAATGCCACGTCAGAACTGGATGCCATGTATTCCAGAACTGTAGCATTATGCCTGGCCTATGGTAGGTGGTTAGTAATTATTTGGCTAACAAGTGAGTGAATGAATTGATCTGAATTCTAGAAATTTGCTATTCTAATTGCAATAGGCATTTATTCAAATTTAACACTAAAATGACTTTTTCATTTATCTAAAGAATAAAGAAGCACCTACAGAAGATGAACTTCTGCTGGTAAGATTCTTTGTTCTACAAATATCCTACAAACTGTATTGAGGGCAAACTGGCTAGAGTCAAGCGGGTTTTAATGGTGATGCAGTCAGAAAGAACAGAAAACTAGACTGAATTCTCCAGGGGCAACGACTGACTAATTTCTTGGATATCAGTTCAGAAATATTCTATGTACATGCATATATACATGTATATGAGTTTGCATGGGCGTGTGTATGTGTACATCTCCAAATTTTGCTCATTTGACACCCTCAACTGCTTACATCAGAACAAGTTTTTGATATTTCCTCTAGTTTAAGTATTGCTGTCTAGGTTGAGGTTTTTCTTTAGATTCATATGCCTCTTTGGTTAACCATTTTTTCTAGCATTGACTTATTGTGTAGGATTTGAGAAATTAGTGAAACCAATCCTCCAAAAAATGAACTTTTTTTAACTTCTCCGTTTGTCACTATATATTTTTAATGAAGTTAAGCATGGACAATTTTGATTTTGAAAGAGCACAAGTCCTGGGCAATCCTACAATGAAATATCTTTGGCTAAAAACACCTCTGAAATGTCAAAAAGGAATGCACCTTTAAAGTTTTTTTTAACATTTGATTTTGAAATAATTATAGATTCACAGGAAGTTGCAAAGATAGTACAGAGAGGTCACATGGTAACTTTCACCCAACTTTCCCCAATGTCACATCTTACATAATTCTCATGCAATAGCAAAACAAGAAATTGATGTTGGGACAATGCATGTGTTTAATTATATGACACTTTATCAGATGTGTAGATTCATCTAACCACCACAGGAATCAAGATACAAAACTATTCCATCACCACATCTCCTCTGAGCTACCATTTCTACTCACACCCAACGTCCGCTCCCTGACCCTATCTAACTCCTAGTACCACTAATCTACTTTTAGCTCTATAATTTTGTCACTTTGAGAATGTTTTATAAATGGAATCATACAGTCTATGATCTATTGAGATGAGCTCTTTTCACTCAGTATAATGCTCTTGAGATCCAGCCAGGTTGTTGTGTACATCAATAGGTCATTCCTTTCTATCGCTTTGTAGTACTCCATGAAGGGATGTACTAAAGTTTATTTAACCATTCACCTGCTGAAGAACATTTTGGTCAACAGTTCTTTTCTTACATCACCCGAAAAATATTGTTCCACTTCCTTTTTGGGTAAATAGTTTCCAATAAGAAATTCACTTTCATTCAAATTGTTTTTCCTCTATAGGTGAATCATTTCTCTCTGATTGCTTTCAAGATTATTTTCATCTTTAGCTTTCAGAAATTTGACTATCCTATAACTTAGCATGGATTTATTTAGGTTTATCTTTTTTTAGGGTTCACTCAGCTTCTTGAATTGGTATGTTTATGTCTTTTGCCAAATTTTGAGAGAGTACTCATCTATTTTTTTAAATACTTTTTCAGTCCTATCCTCTTTCTTTCCTTCTAGGACTCCAATTACATGAATATTAGATCTTTTGTTATAGTCTCACATATCCTTGAGGCTCTGTTCATATTTTTTTTTCAGTTTTTTTCTCTCTGTTGTTCAGATTGAGTGATTTCTATTACTCTATCTTCAAGTTCACTGATTCTTTCTCCATCCTCTCCACTCTGCTGTTAAGCCTGTCCATTGAGTTTTTATCTCAATTTTAAGTTGTAAAATTTCTATTTAGTTCTTCTTTATATCTTCTACTACTTTGATTAAACTTTCTATATCTTTACTGTGACTTTCTATTTTTTCATGTTTCAAGTGTTTGTAATTGCTCATTGCAGCATTTTTACAATGGCTGCTTTAAAACTCTTGTCCGGTAATTCTAATATTTGTGTTATCAGGACATCCGTAGATTGTTCTTCCTCTTTCAAGTTGAGATCTTCCTGATTCTTGGAATGCCAAGTGGTTTTTTATTGAAACCTGGACATTTTGGGTAATATGAGACTCTAGAACTTATCTTGTATTCTCCCAGGCATCCTCTGACACTGCTCCAGCTAAGAAATGAAGTGGCATGTCCTCGTTACTCTCAGTTGAGTGGTGAAATTTCAGGTTCTTGACTCTGCCTCCATTGAAACTCGTGGGGAGGGGCTCCTTGTTACTAATGAGTAGGGATGGTAGTTCAGGCTCCCCATGTGCCCTCCATCGACACTGACCTCAGGGGGATGGCCACAATTGCTGAACAGTGGTGAAAGTTCTACCCCCCACTAACCTCCTCTAACTCCACATCAGTGAGGAGGGGAGAGGAGCCTCATTATAGTCTGGCGAGGGTAAAAGTCTAGGCTCTCCCTTCAACCTTTGCCAGAGGGATGGACATGGGGTCACTGTTTTTCTGTGATATTGGGCTGAAGTACAGTGAGTTGTATCTAAAAGTTTCTGTCTTGCTAGGTGGCCCTTTTCCTGGTCCTTTAGCTATAAAAAGCAGGCTTCTCTTGGGGCTCTTTTTGTGTCTGTACCCATTGACATTCCTGGGTTGCTGGCCTCTCCAGCACTCAATCTGGGATGTATGTGGCAGAAAACCCAGAGAACTCACTGCTATGTTGATCCATGAGTCAAGGTGTTTACCTGATCAGACTTCTTTCCACCTTTCAGAGTTTTCTTTTTCTTGCTTTATATTTAATGTTCAGGGTTTTCAGCTATACCTTGTAGTAGTAATAGGGAAAATTAGTACTACTCCATCTTTCTGGAAGTACAAGTCACTAAAATTATCTTCTTTTACAAAACATTCCTGGTTTATGAAAGAGAAGTTCCCTCATAACCTTGTTAATTAAACAATTAACTTAAAAGTCGAACAAAACCTTAGGTGGGTCCTATCTTTAAATGAAAACCAAAGACAAACATCTGGACCATTTCTTCAGCCCCTTTATTTCAACACGTAACAGGGTATCTATCACATAGTAAGCTACTAATGTTTGATAAATGAATTAATTAAATCTGCGTTTTTGACTGAATAGACATTATTTTTCGCGCTATAATTTTTAAAATTTATTCCCCCTTCAAGAATCATACTGTTCCTTGCCTTCCTGCCTTTGGTCACAACCTCTTCACCCTCTACACCTCTTTCCTGAACTAGCCCTTATCCTTCTAGACCCAGTTTATATAGTTCCTCTCCAAATGGTTTCCCTAAACCCCAAATTCTGGTTGGATGCTCCATTTATATGCTCCCATGGAAATCTGTTTTTCTCTATTAGCACTGCTCAATCTGTACTGTAATTGTCTATTTAATATTGTCTATTTAATATTGTCTTTCCTGCTAGTCTGTCAGCTTCCTGAGGGCAGGAGCTGACCTAAATGTTCATAGTTACAGAACCAGCACCAAACAGTGCCTGTCATATTATAGGGTACAATATATATTTGTTGAATAAATGGATTACTCTTAACTTGATTTTCTCCTTGTACCTAGGGATCATGAAGCAGAAGAACCTCAGCTCTCAGACTGGTTTAATCCTAAGTAAGAACAAAAAATTCTGCTCATAAAATAATAATAATATAACTCCATTTGAATAGGCAAAATTATTTTCCATCATCAAATTGTAGCTATTGAAACCTGAGAGGTTTCCAGGTCTTGGAGTTTTTACTTTTAAGGCTTTTATATATAAACCTAGGGTCTATTTAACAAGAATTAGGTATTTAAGGGTCATAATGAAAAGCTGTTATCTGGTTTAACAGTCCTGATTTTATTAGGGGAGAGAAAACATCTCTTCAGTAGCAGCCCAAAAATGCCATTAATGACTACTCTTGATTTTAGCATTAACACTTGGGGGAGAATCTCATTCTTTATAATGACTACCTAGTATTCTATTTTATGGCTGTATACTATAATTTATTTAGCCAATTCCCTATTGGTTTTGATTGTTTGCAATTTGGAGGCTATTGTAAATAATGTTTCAATGAATATCCTTGTACATATATATTTCTACACCATTGTGTGAATTTATCCATAAGATAAATTCCTGTCATGGCATCATCAGTTTAAGAGGACGCAGACATTTTAAATTTTGACTCAGCTTGCTAAAGTGCCGTTTAATAATTATACTATTAATTTTCTAATCTACAGTGGATAAATTTTAATAACATTTTATTTGTTTTGTATATTTATATTTCATTCTAGTATTATCAAATATTTTCTTATTGGCAAAACTGTTACTTAAACTATCTCAATTAAATTTGCATTTCTGTGATTATTGAATTTGAGCATCTTTAATATGTTTATTTATTTGTATTTCATCTTCTGTGAATAACTTTTTCATATTTATATTTTTTAAATGGACTTCAGGTGGATAGAATTAGATTAATAATGATCTTTGCTTCATGACTAACTCTCATCTTATTTCATGCAAATCCACTTATATTACTTATTTGTATGCTTTCTTGCTGGCTTATGTTTATTTATTTACATATATATTTTTTTAATTGTGTTCATGATAGTTTGCATCAATGTGAAATTTCAGTTGTATGTTGTTTCTTGTCTGTCAGGATGAAAGTGCTCCCCTTCATCCCCTGTGCCCACCCCCCGCTCCTGGGCCCCTGGTAACCACTGAACTATTTTCTTTGTCTGTGTGTATGTTATGTTCCACATATGAGTGAAATCATCTGGTGTTTGTCTTTCTCAGTCTGGCTTATTTCGCCTAGCATAATTCCCTCCAGGTCCTTCCATGTTATTGCAAATGAGATGAATTTGTCTTTTTTTCTGGGTGAGTAGTATTCCGTTGTGTGTGTGTGTGTGTGTATACATATATATACACACCACATCTTCTTTATCCAATCATCAGTCGATGGCCACTTGGATTGTTTCCATGTCTTGGCTATTGTGAATAGTGCTGCTATGAACATAGGGGTACATATGTTACTTTGGATTGTTGATTTCAAATTGTTTGGGTAGATACCCAGTAGTGGGATAGCGGGGTCGTATGGTAGTTCTATTTTTAGTTTTTTGAGGAATCTCCATATTGTTATCCATAGTGGCTGCACCAGTTTGTATTCCCACCAGCAGTGTATGAGGGTTCACTTTTCTCTACACCCTCTCCAACATTTGTTATTTTTAGTCTTAGTGATTATAGCCATTTTAACAGGCATAAAGTGGTATCTTCGTGTAGTTTTGATCTGCATTTCCCTGATGATTAATGATGCTGAACATATTTTCATGTGTTTATTGGCCATCTGTATATCTTCTTTGGAAAAATGTCTGTTCATACCCTTTGCCCATTTTTTGATTGGGTTGTTTGTTTATTGTTGAGTTGTGTGAATTTCTTATATATTATGGAGATTAACCCCTTGTCAGATATATGATTTGCAAATATTTTCTCCCAATTGGTGGGTTGTCTCTGTTTTGATTCTGGTTCCTTTTGCCTTGCAGAAGCTCTTTAGTCTGATGAAGTCTCACTTGTCTATTTTTTCTTTTGTTTCCCTTGTCTGAGAAGACATGGTACTCGAAAAGATCCTTTTTAGTTCGATGTCAAATAGTGTACTACCGATATTATCTTACAGGAGTTTTATAGCTTCAGGACTTATCTTCAGATCTCTGATCCATTTTGAGTTTATTTTTGTGTATGGCATGAGATAATGGTCTACTTTCATTCTTTTGCATGTGGCTGTCCAGTTTTCCCAATATCATTTACTGAAGAGACTATCTTTTCTCCATTGTATTTTCTTGGCACCTTTGTCAAAGATTAGCTGTCTGTAGACATGCAATTTTATTTCTGGGCTTTCAGTTCTGTCCCATTGATCTGTGTGCCTGTTTTTGTACCAGTACCATGCCATTTTGATCACTATGGCTTTGTAGTACATTTTGAAGTCAGGGATTGTGATGCTTCCAGCTTTGTTCTTTTTTCTCAGGATTGCCTTAGCAATTCGGGGTCTTTGCCCCATATGAATTTCAGGATTCTTTTCTCTATTTCCATGAAGAATGTCATTGAGATTCTGATTGAGATTGCATTGAATCTATAGATTGCTTTGGGTAGTATGGACATTTTAACTATGTTTATTCTTCCAATCCATGTGCATGGAATCTCTTTCCATCTTTTTATGTCATTATCAATTCCTTTCAGTAATGTCTTATAGTTTTCATTGTATAAATCCTTCACCTCCTTGCTTAAATTTATTCCTAGGTAGTTTATTTTTTTAGTTGCGATTGTAAATGGAATTATGTTCTTGAGTTCTCTTTCTGTAAGTTCATTATTGGAGTATAGAAAAGCAACTGGTTTTTGTAAGTTGATTTTGTACCCTTCAACTTTACTGTAATTGTTAATAATTTCTATTAGTTTTCCAATGGATTCTTTGGGGTTTTCTATATATAATATCATATCATCTGCAAACAGTGAGAGTTTCACTTCTTCACTCCCTATTTGGATTCCTTTTATTCCTTTCTCTTGCCTAATTGCTCTGGCCAAAACCTCTACTACTATGTTGAATAAGAGTGGTGATAGTGAGCATCCTTGTCTCTTTCCTGTTCTCAGGGGATGGTGTTCAATTTTTCCTCATTGAGGATGATGTTGGCTGTGGGTTTGTCATATATGGCCTTTATTATATTGAGGTAATTTCCTTCCATCCCCATTTTGTTAAGAGTTTTTATCATAAATGGCTGTTGGATCTTGTCAAATGCTTTCTCTGCATCTATTGAGATGATCATGTGGGTTTTATTCCTCAATTTGTTGATATGGTGTATCATATTGATTGATTTGTGGATGTGGAACCACCCTTGTCACCCTGGTATAAATCCCACTTGATCATGATATATGATCCTTTTGATGTATTGCTGAATTCGGGTTGCCAAAATTTTGTTGAGGATTTTTGCGTCTATGTTCATCAATGATATTGGCCCATAGTTTTCCTTTTTTGTGCTGTCCTTATCAGGCTTTGGTATCAGAGTGATGTTGACCTCATAGAATGTGTTAGGAAGTGTTCCATCTTCCCTAGTTTTTTGGAATAGCTTGAGAAGGATAGGTATTAAATCCTCTCTGAAAGTTTTGTAGATTTCCCCCAGGGAAGCCATTTTGTCCTGGGGTTTTATTCTTTGGGATGCTTTTGATTACTGTTTCAATCTCTTTCCTTGTGATTTGTCTATTCACATTGTCTGTTTCTTCTTGATTCAGCTTTGGGAGGTTGTAAGAGTCTAAGAATTTATCCATTTGCTGTAGATTATCCATTTTGTTGAAATATAGTTTTTTGTAGTATTCTCTTATAATCTGTTGTATTTCTGCAGAGTCTGTTATTTCTCCTCGCTCATTTCTGATTTTGCTTATCTGAGCTTTCTCTCTTTTTTTCTTTGTAAGTCTGGCTAGGGGTTTGTCAATTTTATTTATCATCTCTAAGAACCAGCTCTGTTTCATTGATCCTTTCTACTGCCTTTTTTTGTTTCAATAGCATTTATTTATGCTCTGATTTTTTATTATTTCTCTCCTTCTGCTGACTTTGGGCTTTTTTTTTTGTTCTTCTTTTTCTAATTCACTTAGGTGTAATTTGAGATTGCTTATTTGGGAATTTTCTTGTTTGTTAAGGTGAGCCTGTATTGTGATGAATTTCCCTCTAAATATGGCTTTTGCTTCATCCCATATGAGTTGGTATGGTAGGTTATCATTTTGATTTGTCTCCAGATATTTTTTGATTTCTCCTTTAATTTCATCAATGATCCATTGCTTGTTCGATAGCATGTTGTTTAGTCTCCACTTCTTTGTCCCTTTCTCAGCTTTTTTCTTGTAATTAATGTCTAGTTTTATAGCATTATGATCAGAAAGATGCTTGTTATTATTTCAATTTTCTTAAATTTATTGAGGTTCACCCTATTTCCCAACATATGGTCTATCCTTGCAAATGATCCATGCACCCTTGGGAAGAATGTGTATTCTGCTGTTTTTGGATGGAGTGTTCTATATATGTCTATTAAGTCCAACTGGTTTAACTTTTCATTTAATTCCACTGTTTCCTTGTTGATTTTCTGTCTGGATCATCTATCCATTGATGTGAGTGGAGTTTTGAGGTCCCCTACTATTATTGTGTTATTATTAATATCTTCTTTTAGGTTTGTTAATAGTTACTTTATGAACTTTGGTGCTCCTGTGTTGGGTACATAGATACTTATAAGCATTATTTCTTCTTGATGGAGTGTCCCTTTGATCATCATATATTGCCCCTCTTTGTCTCTCTTTACCTGTCTTATCTTGAAGTGTACTTTTTCTGATATAAGTATTGTGACACCTGCTTTCTTTTGTTTGCCATTAGCTTGGAGTATTGTCTTCCACACCTTCACTCTGAGCCTGTGTTCGTCATTGGAGCTGAGATGTGTTTCCTGGAGGCAGCATATTGTTGGATCTTGTTCTTTAATCCATCTCGCCACTCTGTGTCTTTTTGTTGGAGGATTCAATCCACTTACATTTAGGGTGATTATTGATGTGTTATCAATGCTTAATGCTATCATTCTATCACTTGTTTTCCA